GTGTTTCCTGAATCTGGCATCCAGTCGCCTATAGGCCAGGATATCCTCCGGTTTTCCGGTGACCCATGACTTTCGCTGGGCTCGACGTCTTCTCGCTCGGAGTTTAAGCCATTGGAGGTCAGGGTTAGGACGTGTTAATGGCACGCTGACTTCACGGGTGGCTTCTTTGAGGACGCGCGACAGTGTTTCTGAATTGAAGGGAAATCCCGCCTCTAGTGCTTCTCCAAGCAGTGTCCTGTAGTGGTCCCAGTCGACTATCTGGCAAGTCCTAAGGGGGACTTTCGGCGGTCTTCCAATGACAATTGGAAGGTGATCACTCCCCCAGCTGTCCGCCTGAGGGGTTGCACTGAGCCTCAGGGACCAAGTTGTGAAGGTGAGATCAATCACGCTTCCCGTCACTCCAGGGCGGATAAACGTCTGGCTCCCACTTGTGATGTTCCTCAGGTCAAGTGCTTCGACCGTTGCCTGTAGCTCCCGTCCCCGTGGGGAGTCTTGCTTGTCTCCCCAAGACTGCGAGTGCGCATTGAAGTCACCGGCTACTATAAGGTCTCCCTTGGCTCGGACTCGAATGTCCGCAAGTACATGGGTGTCCCAGGGTGCGTTAGGGGCCACGTATACCGAGACGATGGTGAGTGGACGTCTTCTCCATTCCACCGTCACCGCCACGAACTCCGCACTCTCAGTGCATAAATCATTGAGGTCCACCTCACTTTGTGGCAACTCTCGACGCACTAGTAGTGCTGCCCGCGGAAACCCTCTTGCCACATGTGGTTTGCTGGCGTACACTACATGATCCGCAATGCGTATGTCGCCGGCTGACATTCTTGGTTCTTGGAGAGCTACTGCATTGTAGGCGTTGTCCAATAGGTGTTTGCGGAGCTCAGGGAGTCGCGTTCTCAATCCGTTACAGTTCCATTGAAAAACTGAGCAGGAGAGGGGTTGAAGATGCTTGGTGGTCCTCTTATTAATATCTCCCATCGTGGATGAGTTGGTGTGGGCAGGGGAATGGTAGAGGGCTTGTGATGTAGAGGGCTTGTGATGAACAGGGTTCCTTCCACTCCATTGCAACAGACTCAGTTTCAATATGATCTGACTCATCTGTTCTATGCCATTTAGCTTTTGAGTTACAGTGAAGAAAATATCTGTACTGACAAGTGAGGCTTTCTTGGAAACGCTCTAGCATAGCATTGCAATAATGGGTTCTAATGTGAGGACGGCTTTGATCACTTGATGAAGTGTTGATGTCTGTGACGTTGTGGACAGTATCTTGCGAAGAGCAGTGAACATAAGTGGGATTATGGCTTTAAACACAGAGTCAGTCTTCGTTCCGCTTTCTTGGTTGGGTCCCGTCATGTGCACGTTGGAGGTCTTATGTGAAGTGATGTTTTTGATGTTTGGTTTGTCCCAAAACGAAGGTTTCCTAGAAACTGGTACTGTAGTTGTTGCGGTACATTTATCGGTGACCAGATCTGCAGGCGTGCTCTCCACGTCTTCGAGAGGGGGAAAGTCTTGAGCAGTCAGAGGCAGAGTATTGTTGGCGGAGGCGCTAGATTCTTGTATGTTGTTTGAATTCGTTGTTTTGTTTGCCTGTCTTTTTGCATGCACAGCACTTTTGGCCTCACGAAATGTGGTGTTATGCTCTAACTTGTACCTCGCTACTTCTGCCTCCCTTGCCCTCACTGGGCACTCAGGTGCGTTGGAGGCGTGATTTCCATGACAGTTGACGCAGCAGGGGTTGGCTTCGCACTTGTCTTTGTGGCATTGTCCACACCGAGAACATAACTGGGTTTCTTCTGCGCAGGCAGCTGCGATGTGGCCGAATTTGTGACACCTGTAGCACTGCAAGGGGCATGCTCGGTAGGGAATTACTTCCGTTCTTACAAGACCGACATTGACATGTTGAGGAGCTACTTTTGTTGCGAACGACACTCGCACAACGGGTGATGCCTTGCCAAGGCGTTTCACTTCCGTTATGGAGGCGGTTGACTGTAGTCGCGCTTTTATGTCGGTCTCTGTGCAGTCAGGGTCGATGTCTCGAAGGACGCCATAGCAATTTGTGCGGTCGCTAGGTAGAAAAGCACGCACCGGCAGTGCGCATAGCTTGGTTAGCTTCAGGAGTTCAGCTTTGAGTGCAGGCCTTTTAACGTCAACCGCAACGATATTACGAGCTTTGTTGATACGAACTACACTAACCATGTCTGGTGCGACGTTGTTCAGGTAGTCAGTCAGTTTAAATTTGCTGAGCGATGCAACCTTGCTGGTGTCAGTTGGCATGTACAGTACCGTGAATCCGACTTGTAGGTTGGTCTTCTCTTTAGAATGCGATGCTGAGCTCTGGCTTGTCTTTCGTCTTTTCTTGCCATGAACGACCTCGTAGTCACCGTCGTCGGAGTGCAACTCGTCGTTAGTAGACACGATTGTCGATGAGGAGCTGCTCATTGTGTCAGCGGCGCAGCGTATGGGTGGAATCTCATAGCCGTCTTTGATGATCGTCGATGTGCTTGCCTGTGCTTCATCCATGTCAATGGACATGAGAGCGTTCGATGACTCGATGTCCGAGGTCATATTTGTTGATGTCCTGGCCTCCCCTCAGGAGGTCCTTTGCGCACGAAGATCCTATGTCGTTCTGTTAGTTGTTAACCGCCGAATGTACTGTTTAAACACGCAATTTATCGGCTACGTAAGGAAAATTCAGAGACACGAAAAGGGTTACCAGCAGCAGTGTCGTCGTCGTCTTCTTTTTCATCCGCGAATGCGGGCCTGTTTTTATACAGTGTGTCGGTCTATAGAGAAGGCCAGTGAAGGGCGCTGATTGGGCACGAGCCCTGCGTCGGCGTTCGGCTGGCACTCGGGTGTCCAATCAGCGGGGACACGAGCTTTAGCCGAGCGCCGACGTAGCTGTCCCGTGCAAGCTGCGTGCCTTTCCCTGGCGGTGACGACGGTTATTCCAGGAACTGTCGCTTCTCGGATGCTCCTCCACGCGACACGTTGATACGCCGGCCGGTACAATTGCGATAGGGTAGCACACTATTTGAACGTGACACGCGCGAGTAGCGGATTTTGAGTTAAAAGCAAATTCGAAGCGAATACGTTCGAATTGAATGCCAAATAGTTTCTCCGAGCCTTTCGTGCTTGAACGAAAATTGAGCTGAACTCGTGAAGGTTGGGCCTAATCTTCCACTTGTCCATTTCTGAGCCCAGTTAATTTCAATATAACTATATTTGTGTACTGTGGCATGTTAACGACAGGTTTGTCGCAGCTATCCCAATCAAGAGGATTTATAAACATGCGTGCGTACGCAATTTTTTTTGTTTCCAATTTCAAGACATTGCCAAGTTAAAACTTACTCTCTAACGGCGCTATGCTCAAAAGCTAACATTCCGGTACTCAAAATGCGGCGTAAGGTAAGAAGGTTGAAATTACTTTACATGACTCTAAACGACTTCCTGCAGATAAAACAGCTTACGTCATCACTTCTGGTGTATCCGGAATTTCTGGCAACAAACATAGCCGTACCCTTCGTCAGCCCCGATGCTTCGACGACTGTCTTAATTATTCCTTTTTTTCCCTAAGTATCAGCGAGTGGAACTCTCTCCCTGAAGATGCTTCCTCGTGCCATTCGCTTGAATCGCTATGTTCATTCCTTGTGTCTTATGGCGCATCTGTGACATGTGAAATAAAAAAAAAAGTAAAAACAATTTTTTTTATTGTGTGCGCTTTGTTTTTGCGTTTGCGATATTCTAGCTTATCTTTCAGTAAAATATTGCGTAATTAATTGTATATTTGTTCTGGCACTTTTACAAATCCATCTGAAAAATCTGTTAAAACATTTTAGCGTGTTTTTCTTGTTCCAGTATGTGTTGCTTTTCTATCTTTTTCTTATTTTGCCAGAAAGTGCATATCCCCATTTCTATCATAGTCCCGTAAGAGACTAATAATATTTAAAAAAAATATATATATATTTATATATATATTGCAGCGGGTTAACCTCCTAAAGTCCGCTTCTTGCCGAGCACCGATGCACAGTGGGGAAGCAATCTGCACACGAAGCCCTTGAGCTTTGCGGGTATTGCTTCCCCGCAGTGCACCGGTGCTCGATGAAAAGCGCACTCAACGGGGCTCATCCGCCGTGATCAGTACTTCGCAAAGTACGAAGAAATGGCGTATTATTCGAAACTACCATTACAAAAATTCTGATATTCGCACTTAAACGCGCACTCCCTTTAATGTTCCGTTAGAATTGGTTCTTGGACCGACGTTTATGCGTGGGGGCGTTGTGGAGGTGCCCGTACTTGTACGGGAGGGGGATGCTATTTTTTAATGAAGGACAAAAAAAGGATTGGAAGAGCTAGCTGCCTAATTTGTAAAAAGGTATACATTGCTCGCCAAACTTATACGGTGAGAAACCGCGGGAAAGGAGGAGAGGAGAGCGTGCGGTGACATCGCTTTGATTGGGTAGACGCAACTTCTACCCACTACATTTTATCCAATCAGAGCTAACAAAAGCATCGCTTTTCCTCGCGCAGTCTAGCGGACGCCGGCGTCCGGCGTTCGAACGCCAGACTCTGCGAAACAAGCGCGTCTGTATGTGCTCGTTTTTTTTTTTTTTGTTTTTTTTTCTTCTGGTTTTTGCCCAGTTTAGCCCTAAAATTCTGTCCGTTCATCCGTGCGTTCCCCGCTAAATGTAGCGTAGAAATCAACGTCACGTGACCTGACGCCACGTGACCTCTACGCCAATTCAGTCTCCACGCTAAATTTAGCGGTAAAATTGACGTCACGTGCCTTAAACACCAGTTCAAATTTCGCGCTAAATGTAGCGGGAATATTTATAAAAATGTACGTTCTTCTTCACTCTCCTAAACGACTATTAAATGTTTTCTAAGCAACTTTAAACAATCGCTCCTTAAATGCTATATCTTCGTGTATTATTGCATTTTAAAAAATAAAAGGCACTGACGATTTTTGTTTTCTTTTTCTTGGCGCGGCTCTTGCATGGCAGTTGAGTCAGGCGTGGTGCAGCCCAACGTGCCGGCCAAGTCTAGCGACGACTCGGGCCTGGGCACGGGCCACAGCCCCCCGAGCAAGAAGCCTGCGCTCACCATAGACCTGCACCGCATCCCGCCGTCGAGGGCGAGCTCCTACGGCGGATCTCTGTGCAGCCTGCCCACCAGCAGCAACGGCAAGATGTACGGCACACGCAGGGCACACGGAGACCTGTGAGTATACTCGCCTGAGTGCGTGCATGCGTATGGGTGTGTGTACGTGCAGGCGCGGGCGTGCGTACGTGAGCGTGAGAAAGATGGGGCAGCTCGCCTGTGCGTGCAAATATCAGTTTTAAGTGCACGCATTAATGACCACTTTCAACCGACTTTTTAATTTTTTTTTAGGCTCCCTTTTGTGATTTGATTTCTTCGGTTGTCTTGAGTTGCACGTTCGTCCGCTGCGGTCGCGAGTAGACGCCTATATCTAGTCTCGCAAACTCGTGCTTCGACCCGAAACCGAAGGAGTGCCCACAGCACGACGTTGCGAAAGTACCTGTATAACCCTTTATTTGTGAGCGCATCAAACTTCCACAGCCAGCACCTCGGGACAAAAAGAAAATAAAGAAAAAAGTGTGACACTGAAAAATCTCAGGAACGTAATCACGCTTTCGCCAATGAGGACGCCAGGAATCTACGAAATTTAGAAGCCACCACAAGAGCACGGTTTAGATTTGTCTTTACTTGCAGTGACTCTCTGGTGATCATGCTGAGTGCCCTGTACGCCAAGCTCCTGGTCATCATGGGAATCTGCTTCCCACTGGGAGAGGTCATCTCCAAGAAGATACCCGTCTCCTTCTACGAGGTGAGGCTTGCTGGCTGTTGCCGGGCTGCAGTCTCCTGACTTCCACGCTGCTTCCACATTACGTTACCGCAAACCGCGTGATGCCGATGCTCTGCTTATAGCGCTGCGGTTTGCTCGGTGGCGTAGCAATAGAATGAGGTACTAAAATACTAGTTAAGCGGCGCAAGCAGCCGCCCGATATGGATGGTTTAGCTGACTGCATCCACCCTTACAAACAATGCACCACAAACAACCCAACTTTAATGCGAAACACACAGTCTCCTCATCGCAATGAGGATGTCATTTGGCGGCGCACTATCGCAGACGTTGTGGCGAACCAGAGCTGGAAAGAAACAAGATTCTAAAAAAAAAATAAAAGCACGAAAACAAAACTGAAAGATATTTTCGAGGCTTTCAGCATCAAGCGATCGCCGGCGAAACAAAATGCACCAGTGCTTCATCGCTACTCTTACCACACACATAATTCGAATATACTACATCATCGTTGTAATTATTAAGCATATATATTTCTGTGCTTTTTCCACGCTAAAATTCAGTACCCACTGACAGAGTGACAACGGCAGGGAGGGGCTTCACTTGTCTCACCTCCGACGCAAGCTTCCTACCTTCGATAATGCTTCGGCGTCTCGTACACCCTGAGCGCACAGCCAAAGCACGGCTGAAGGCAAGGAGCGCGTGTTAAAGGTATTCAGGGCTACGTAGTTCTACCTTTGTATACGCTGAATTACGATGTATAGCTTTTGCGTTTTTTGTTTTCACGCTGAGTGCCTTCTTTGCAGGGCTTCTACCTGTACCTGTACTTCGGCAGCATCGCGTTCCTGCTGTACGTGTACGTGTTCCTGCTCAAGCACGAGAAGGTCAACTCCAAGCTGGAACAGTTCACCGAGAGCTTCGGCGACAAGATGCGTCGCCTGATGGGAATGCGCTGCGCCAAGAACACCAACATGGAGATCCCGCCCATCCAGAAGAGACGCGTCTACGATGCCACCACGCACGCAGGGAGTTTCTACCTCCGCCTCGGTGCCGTGGGTGAGCGTCCGTCGCAACTTTGGCCTTTCCGGGCGTCTTCAGAGAGTCCGCCATTGTAAAAAAAAAAACTGGTGCAAAGAAAAGAAAAATTGAGCCTCCCGTCAATGTTTTGTTGACGGTGAACTCGTCCAGATAAAAAACAAAAAACAACAAAAAAAACGGACGAGTGACACCACGTGACTTGACGTCGGGTCACGTGACACCGTCACGTCAAGGGGCGGCGTGATCTTTGGTGGTCTTTAGTCCTGACGTCACATGATTACGTCCAGCATTTGTTTTAGGCTTTTGCTTTTGAACAGCTACTGCGGCAGACGCCAGCACGTGCGGTGCGTGTAACTACACTTGCAGCATGTTCCTTGGTGCTTGTGTAATTTACCACAAAGTCTATTCAGCACTTTCCACAACACCAGTAATTTGATGACAGCCTTTCAATTATTAATGGAGATCAGATAAAACCGGCGATCCTTTTTTCGCACTATAGCAGTGTCGAGCTGTGTATGCTTCGTCCGTGACGTATATACATCATAATCACTCCCTCCCTCTGAATACTTCAATCAAAATTTAACAAAAAAATCCTCGTAAATATCAAATCAACTTGGTGCTTTAGAAACAGTGCGTGGTGAACAATTTGATGAACATTTCGACGTAATTGCGTCCAAACAAGTGAACCTTGGTATTCCTCTGCTCGATGACGACCAAGGTGAACTGCAGTGTTGTTTTAATGACAAAATTCGGTGTAGCTGCTCGTGAAATAAAATATGTTGCTGTTTTTTGTTTCTTTCCAGCGTTCGGCACCGGGAGCATGATCTACTCAGGCCTGGAATTCGGACAGTTTTTCGAGATGGAGTCCGACTCCAAGTGCTACAACATACTCTTCAGCCTGACTCCTGCAACAAGGATGGCTTTCACCTTTTTTCAGCTCTACTTCATATTTATTAACTCAAGGGTACGACTTTTTCTTCTTTTTTTTTTGTTGTTGCTAAACTGATACCGTGTGACCCGACCGCAAAAAAAAAAAAAAAAGCATGAAGTGCCCTTTTTTTTTGTGAAGAGGTTAGTAAGAAGACACTTTAAAAGGAAGTACTTTTCGTTTTCTGTTGTACGATAAACTCGTCTGCAGAAAGTTTGTCTTGCTGTGGTGCCTGAAAAGTGTCTCTGATTGGCGTGTTTGCAGTCCTATACCGCTTAAGCCGGATTCACATTGCTTATACATCATACAAAAGACAGTCTGGATACAGATTCGAATGCGAGTCACCGTGACATCCGTGCTTCGAATGCCGCATGGCGATGAATTCAAGGAGAAACTTGGCAAGCGGCATTCAAACCTCTCGTATGATGAATGAGCAGTGTGGCCCCGGCTTTAGTGGATCCGAGTGTCCCAGGAATGGCAACAAAACGTGACGCATGAGCCGCCCTGTAATGCTCCTCGTTGTCCCGATCCTGGCGGTTCGTTATGGAAGTTCTGGTGAAGACAACGAACGGACGCAGGCGTCGCTGTCGTCGCGGCGTCGTAACCCGCGGCTACTGGAGTTTCCGTCGACTGGCCGACAGGAGAGCAGGCTGCAGCAGAGCAGGCGTCTGCCGATTATACTTTCGCTGCCTTGTCGCCACCAGGATCGCGACGAACAGCAGCATTACACAGATTTGACATGACCAGCCGAGTGACGGGTGACAACAATAAAGACGTGCTTGCACACTCTAGTCGGGGTCACGTTCCAGGCACCATCCAGTGTCAATTGGCAATTTTTAAGGGAGCTCTCTCTCTCTAAGAGGAAAATAGCACTTTTTCTATTCCATCTTTGAAGAAAATAGTTCTCTAGACACTCATGTGCGCATTGATTTTTCAAGGGGCGTCATTGTTTTTCCCGTCGTGTAGGTTGCCATCAGCAAGTTCACAACGTTTGCAAGGTTCGGCTTGATGCACATGATTTCAGCGAACATCTGCGTGTGGCTGCACGTGCTCATCCAGGAGACCAAGCACCAGATCCTCGAGCTGATAAACCGCAATGAGACCCAGATGATGGCCTTTGCCGTCAACCAGGCGAGCTTAGGTAAAGGCTTCTTTTCGACATCGAAACATTCAGCCCGCAGAGATACGCGCACAGAGCGCGGAACTTGGCACAAACAAATAAGGGCCGAATCGACCCGATCTTCGCTTAGAATGGAAAGGCTGTAATCATAACTGCGACTACTAATGTTGCAGAAATCGCTACTGGTGTATTAAGCCCAGCGCAGGCATTGTGTGTGCGCTAGCCATTTTGTGCTGTCAATACGCAGCGGCAATACTAGCAAGAAATAACGCCCGAATCCCGATTGACAATCGTACGCATACGTTAGTGACAAATTCCAGAGACGCGTTTTACATGGTTGTGTGCCAGGCGAGTACTATTAAAGTAACGAGTGCTGTGTTCTAGAAATTAGAGTAAAGACGCAGGCGAGCTGATGACTAATCATAGTAAAAAAAACGGAGACAAGGTGCTAAAAGGGATGAGACGGTGTTGTTCTTGTCCCTTTTGACGCCTTGTCTTTTTTTTCTGTATTATGCTATGTTTTGTTTTAACATAACTCGGCAGAGTGAAAAGGGGTGGGGCGAAGCACCGACAGCTCTCTACAGGCGAAGCGCAGTTTATGTTGGGTCGTGTCTCGCTCCGACGTTCTGATTGGCTCAGGGGTGTTGTAGGTCTTGCCGTTTGCCTTGTTATGTCAAAATAGCGTAGTCGAGCGCTTCGTCTAAAGTCTGAACTCCGTGAAGCAAACACGCGGCGAGCAACCAACCTCACCCTGCTCGGCAAAATTCGTCGCTTGTTCGCAGCATAGTCACCGCATATAACACCGCTCGCTCATTCTCCTAATTTGTCTGTTCTGACTGGCAATGATGGGGGAAGCATCAGGCTTGGGTAACATCACCCTAAAAGGTTTACTTTCAGTGCGAGTGGGTGTGAGAGGTGTAGATAGAGGCGTCTTTAATTTTGACGGAATATGTAATTGTTTTCTGGTCCCTAGTTGAATAAACTAACGGAGCGAGTCGGATGCCACTTGTGAGCCATCGGAAATTATTTGGTATGTAATTATTGTTTGTTTCCTGTTTTTTTTTTGTTTTTTTTTTTATTCAGTGCCGGAAGATGAAGAGGACCACCTGAACCCGGTGCACTACGAGACCCACTCGAAGGACCATCACCGGATGGAGCGGTCCGCGGACCACGGCATCCACCACGAGAGCCACAACTGCCGCCGCGCCAACATCATGGGCGAACTGGTGCAGAACGCGAGTCCCTTCCTCTTCCCCTGCACCATCGAGTACAGCCTCATCTGCGCGGGCATCCTCTACATCATGTGGAAGAACGTGGGCTCCTCGCACCCGATGCCCGCCACACCGGACAGCTCAGTTCAAGTGCACACGCCGCGGCAGAGACACTACTACCAGGTCGATTGCGCCAAGGCCAACAAGGGTCTCTTTACGGGCATCCTGGTGCTCGTGCTCTCCATCATCAGTCTCATCCTCTTCTTCGTGCTCATCAACAAGCCGCAGTACCGCAAGCTGGCCGTGATGGAGGCCCACATCGCAGAACTGGCCGTCTACGTGCTCGCCTCTCTGGCCACGATGACGGCGTTGTTCCAGGTCCGGGAGCTCCGGTACAACCGGCTCAGGAACACGGACCTGGACAGCATTCTGCTCATTGTCGCCCAGAGCGGACTCTACCTGTACACAATGTTCAGCATCATCGGCGGCCACTTCACCCTCGACCAGAACACCATGCTGGCTCTGCTGACGGCGCTGGCCTGTCTCATCCAGGGATCGCTGCAGACCATCTTCATCCTCGATGCCTCGCGGAGGTACGTGAGCAGCAGCGACCAGGCGAATCGAAAGCCTGGCAGAGAGATGGTCACTTTCCTGATCGTCTGCAACTTCTCCATGTGGGCCATCAACACCCTGGAGACTCGGAGGGCCGATTCGAATCCGGTTCAGATGAACTTTTACGGGTTTTGGGCGTGGACCATTATCACGCACGTGACGGCTCCTCTTACCATCTTCTTTAGGTTCCACAGCACCGTGTGTCTGTGTGACATTTGGAAGAGGGCGTACAAGGTCAAGTCCGACTACCTCTGATGTCCCGGACGGCATGCAATTGTGGAAGTTTATGGACGCGTGTTGTTGTATTGTGCTGGTGTGTGCTTGTATTGTGCAACGCGGCTTCTGATCGGGAAGTAACATTTAGAAGTGTAACCCTCACATTAATTTTGGTTTCGCGGCTGGCCGCCACATCAGACTCTGCATAATGTAGGGTGCCACTTTTCGGTAAAGCTAAATTTAAATCTTAAACCTCGTTGTTTCAGGATTGCGACTCAACTTGCACTAGAGTTGAGCGTGCAAGGCGTGGTTCAAAGTAAATAACGTTTTTTTTTAATAGATTTTAGTGGTAATTTGGTCCCTTGGACGCTTCAGGCTGGCGCAGTTCCAAGTGCGCGTGACATGGTAACGACAAAAACATTACGGTGGATTGACAGACATTTATAATTGAGGCTTTCACCTCATGTCTTGCGGCAATATAGAAGCGCTTTAAGCCCACGTGCCCGGAGATGTATTTTTATTTTGTATTCGTGTCGGTGTCTTTTCTATCTTGATACTCACGATGTTGTCAGTACCTATACTCCCAACTTTTTTTTTCTCGATTGTGTGTGTGCTTGGTCTTGCGTAATGTCTTGCGTAAAGTACGTATATGCCAGAAACAAGTTAAGCGTGCGAGGAGCGGTCTCTTACTTTCACAAATGGCTTTTATTGAATGCAAAAGCAGAAAAAACGTGTGATGTCATTGTGTACTTTCACCATTCCTAACTGTAGTACAAATTTTGTCGCACCTCTATCACCTCCATCTATTGCCATCACTGCATTATTTTTTTTCTCTAGTCTTAGTGGTGACGGTCTTTGAACTGTCTGAATATTACATCGAATTTGTTGTCACATAGTCTATTAATTGGACGTATAACGACGCGATGACCATATAATTAAATTGTGGCTATGCACCAGTACAACGTTACCAATAACTACAGCAGTACCGAGAAACTTGTGTTGTGCTGTGAAGTCTTATTTATGTACTGTCGGTGTTTCACCACGTCACCTCGCATTTCGGACACAGGCAGCACCTAGCTTCTTCAATTTTGGGAACGGCGGTCGTACTTTCTCCACGCCAACCGTTCCAGGAATGGAGAGCTACGTGGGCGTTGTGCTCATGTACGTTAATTGTATGGCTTGTCATTTCATCATTACCGTCACAAATTTCTTACTAAAAACAGTATTGCAACTGTACGCGTTTTTTTAGCATATCGTCAACTTTTGACGAAAAAAAAAAAAAGAAGCTTTGGTGTAATAAAACAATGAAACCAATTAAGAAAAAAAGCAAGTCACATTGTAATTTTTTAAGGTGTGCCCTTGAATCATTTCTCGAGTCGCCAAGAAGCAGCTTTATGGGCAACACGGATTGGCTCGGAGGCCCGACGTCCAAAAATAGCCGCGTCACACGAAACCAGGAATTTCGAAGATGAACTGGCGAATAATAAAGAAAAATTCCGCGGAGCTAAGTCGTAAATTGCAGCCTCCAAAAATCCTCCCAACAAATATTTGGAGAGCCCAACAAAAACTCCCCCATTTTCTTTTGCCCAAGGCTCGAGTTACCCCCGGATAAAATGAAAAAACAAAAATTCCAGCTCATCAAAAAATACAACACAGGGAGTTTCTTTAATCAACACTTGCAAAACTGCCCCTTCTCGCAATCTTCGCCGGAATTACGCGTGCTCATCTTTTTGTTCACGTTAAAATCCCAAAAGAAAACAAAGGGTTCTCGTGCCCGCCTTCACGCGTTTCTGTGCCTCGACAAACTGCCGCGTCATTGGTTACCTTGGGCGACGGCGACACCCGAGAGTCCCAACCCCTAACGTACGACTCGCGCACGGGACAGGCTCTCTGGCACCGGCAGTCAACCTGCACAGCCAGCACGTGCAGGGGTCATCGAAGCCCCTTCGGCTGTTTTCTGTTATTCTTGGTGACGTCTCGTCTTGCACGGCGAAATCAATGGCAGGCGGTGAGAGAGAGAGCGAGAAAGTGAGACTTCTGGGAGGGTTCCACGGAGGTGTCCTTGCAGAGGTCGCTTCAGACCGCGGCCCGACCACGTCTCCGCTCGCGGTCTTCCCGAGTCGGCCCGTACAAGACGCGATGCCTCACCGCCGACGCGTGATGCCCAAGACGACGCTGGTGGCGCCCTTTCCGTCCTCAGGTACGGTCGTCCTCTGGACCTCCTGTCTTCGACCCCACGCTCCCGCGGGCTGCCCGGACGCAACGCGGCAGATCAATCCGCTTACCGGGGTTCTTGTTGGCTCGATTTATGCTTCCCACACTAAGTTCGACCGTAAAGCCGACCCTACGATCCGAGTGGAACCACTTGAGCAGCCCCAAAAGTGCATTGCCACGACGCTCATTGTCTTAGTGCGTTTACTGTCAGCGGCTAAATCATTTGCACACAGTGGTAGCGCCGTTGACCTGCGCTCTTTTTTTGTGCGTGATCAGTTTAGCCACGATTGCAAATGCGGGAAAACTACGAGAGCCATGACTGTACACTGTTGGCGCTGCTTGAGTTGCTCCATTGGGTCGTCGCTTTGACTGCGGTCGAACCTAGTGCGAAACGGAGTACGTCCGCCAATCGCCGAAAGTGGGTGCAGTGACTTTTCGACTGTCGGCTAGAACCAAACGTTTTTTTGTTTTTTGTTTTTACAGCATGAGATACATGGGACGGCGCTCAGAAGTAATGCTTATGTCTGTGACGACCAGTGAATACATCCTTCTGGTTTTAACTTGTTCAGGTTCTGCCAGTTCCCCGGAGAGCGAGGTGGAGGTTTTAAAGCCTGGTCCCAGGTGTTTTTTTGTTTTTTTTTTTAATGAGTTTTGGGGTGGGACGTTGCAAGTAGCCTCAATTGCTTTGCGACGTCAAACCACGATATGTTTACGTTCTCGGACAAAGTTGGAGTTATATAGACTCGCTTATCCCTCTTGGACCACCGGCCCACCACCCTCATTTTTAAATCTTTTAATTTAATTCTGCAAGCATTCAGACTAGTGGTGCAAAACTATCTATAATACTATCGATAGTGGAAGCCAAATTTAACTATTGATAGTTAAAAAATTGGTAGTGCTGTCGACAGTTGATTATCGTAAAACTATTGATAGTATAATGTCGTAAAACTTTCGATAATGTAACGTCGTAAAACTATCGATAGTCGGCTATCGTGAAACTCGATAGCATACTATCAACAGTTGACATGAAATTGTTTGTAGTTGAATGCCGAGAAACTCTCGACGGCCAATTATCGTAATGCTATCGACGATATTCTACTAGGTGACGAAGAATTAACGCCGTGTGTCCATCCAGGAAATGTTGTGTAACTCGGAGAAGAACGCAACTGCAATTAGAGACTTCCCCATAACTTTCCAGATTATAATTCTTGTTTCACTGCTTCTCAGCACGGCTTTCGTAAACTTCTTTAGTGCGACACTGAACTGCTGTCTTTAACTAACGACCTACTTTCTATTTTAGAAAGTGGATCCCAGATTAACTGCGTTTTTCTTGATTTTAGCAAAGCATTTGACAAAGTTTCCCAGAAGCTTCTATTCCTCAAACTTGGTAAACTTGACATTGGCCCAACCGTTTTATTCTGGATTAGAGACTTTCTAACAAATCGATCTCAATTAGTCTTTACTAATCAAGCTAATTCAGACCTCAGTTCCGTCACCCCAGGCGTCCTACAAGAGTCCGTCTTAGGTCCTCTATTGTTTCTAATCTACATAAATGACTTAGCTCAGAATCTGTTTTCCTTCGTTTATTCTGTTTGCGGACGACTGTGTCATCTATCGCGAAATATTTAATAACTCCGATGCTCAACTTGTTCAGAACGACTTAAACACTGTTTTGGACTGGTGCAACACGTGGTGTATGTCTCTTAACATTAACAAATGCAAAGCGATGCTTGTATATCCGACGTGACTCATCACCACTTTCATACACCCTTGGTACCTCCCTCTTGAGAATCGTAGTTTCCTACAAATATCTTGGAGTTCATATTACTGATCATATCACTGTTCACCGCTAACTCCATGTTCGGTAACTTAAAATGAAATTTTACTTTAGCACCAATGTCACTGAAATTACTTTTATTTAAAACCCTGGTACGCTTTAAATAGTACGCTGCAGCAATCTGGGATCCCAGTCACAGCACACACGTATCTAACATTGAAGCCATTCAAAACCGTGGCGCGCGTTTTATCTTTTGTAATTATCATCGTTCAGCCAGTGCGTCATCCATGAAATCTAACTTACCTTTGCCCCTTCTTTCTCTACGCCGTAAAGTATAACGTCTATCGCTTTTTCATAAAATTAGCTACTCTGTCTCTACTCTAAAAGAAAAACTTATTCTTTCTCCTCCACACATCTCCTTTCGCCTTGATCATCAGCATAAAGTGGGAATTCCCCAGTTTCGCACCTTCGCCTACCTCGACTCTTTTATTCCCAGGTCGTCATTGGAGTGGAACCACCTTCCCGCATCTTTAGTGTCCATATCATCAATCGATATTTTTTTTAAGATTCAATAACCAGCCATTTTTGTAAGCAGGCACACTGACTGCTTTTTGTCTTGTTAATTTTTTTTTTTTTTTTTTTTTTTTTGTATTATGTTTCGTTACTTGGGTCCCTCCTCTCTGTGATGCCCTCGGGCCCTGAGGGTACTGAAATAAGTAAATAAATAAATTATCGAGGGACAATCTAAAACCTATTCGAAAACAATCAGAAAACGGTAGAAATCCTACTTAGAAACAATTGACAAGAAATCATTAAAAAAATAACGATTGTATACTATTGAAAAACGGAATAAAAGATATCAAATTAACAAGTTGTCGAAGTTGGTTTTTTTTAGGTTGTTTTTTAGAGGGAGAAGTCAGGAAAATGAAAATCCCTGTCGCCTTTGATAAGTAAACTAGTTGCTTAAATTCGGAACCCTACTTGAATATGGTGCTAGCGATGGCGATGGAATGCGCATGTATTGGGACATGAATTTACCCGAATGAAAAGATAAGTGCGGCGTTCTTTTCCGAACCAAATAGGTTTGAAGAAAGAAAAGAAACAATATTGCCTTTCGGATTCACAAGCCTTTTTCACTGAAATAATGGCTCATTGCCAGCAGTATCGTTACTTGGATCACAGGAAATCTTCGTTTTTATATTTTATTTTTTCTCCAGTTAACGTTGTGTTCCCAAACTTGTTGTATCTGAAGAATGGAAAAACTTGGAGCGTCAGTAACTAACCATGTTGGCCTGGTATAAGTTTTTTATCTGGTAATGATCAATTTGAAGTCTCCACAACAAAATCTCTCATACATTTATTGATTCAAAGATATTTATTTCTAGATTATGTGACGGTTTCTGTATTTTTAAGTTGTATTTTATACCTACAGGTAAATCTTTTTCCCAGCCTCCGTTATTAAAATCTGTCAAAATAGAACCGAACAAAAAGTGGCAAAATATCACGGTGATCAAAGCTATGAAAAATAATGCGTGACAATTGAATAAGAAAGGAAATACAAGCGTGAAACAAGCTTGTGAAAACCCTTATATGTCTTCAGCGAGTTTTTTCCGTAGCTGTAAGGCAAAACACACACACACACACACACACACACACACACACACACACACACACACACACACACACGCGCACACACACACACACACGCACACTGAATATAGTTTTACAAATGAGGGCATACTGAAGTCTGAAGCCTGATATCTGAAGCCCATGAATGTTGAAAATATGTGCACAGGAAAACTGGCAAAACGCCTTTTCTGCTTTACCTCTAAATTCATTGTATGAGAGTGCAACTTTATGTTTTGTTTCCTTTCAATTTCATGATCTTCCCAGAAGCGCGCGTTGTCTGCCCGTCTACAGAATTTGCAACGCTTTGCACCCAGGCGAAAAATGCTGCGTCACTGAGCTGTGGACGGAGGCGCAGCTTCCGATATAGCCTACAGCAGATCAACGGTTCATGCTCAGAAGGTGTTCCACAGTCCAGCAGACAAAGATGGCAGCGCGCAGAAGCAGCACCTCCTAAACAACTTTCAAGCCGTCACGTCGCGTCACGTCACGTCACGTCCCGGAGGACTGCACGGGCGCTGATTGGATGCGAGTGCCGCGTCAGCGTTCGCGTGGGACTCGTTGTCTATCATAGCCTCACGCGAACGCTGACGTGGCACTCGCACCCAATCAGCGCCCGTGCAGGCCTCCGGGACGTGACGTCATGTCACGTGACGTGACGGCTTGAAAGCTGTCTAGGAGGTGCTGGCAGAAGGCGCAAAGGCCTATATCCGTCGTCATTTCCTTTTTCTGTGGTGCATTCATTTTCGTAACACTCGATAGTTATCTATCGAAAAGACAACTTTTTTTTTTATCGAAAAGCCAAAAGCCACTATCGATAATACTATCTCTAGTATTATCGATAGTACTCGATAGTATACTATCGATATAGTTCACTATCGATAATTTTGGTTAAACAATCGATAGTATCGGTAGCCATTTTTTCTATAGTTTTGCATCACTAACTCAGACCCTATTTCTGACGTCTCGAACAACTAGCCGCGTCACTCGAAAAAAGAAAAGCGTGAGCAGTCTCTCTGGCCACGTCATCTTGCAGCGAGTGTCGTGTTACGCCTTCTCCGAGTCTTTGGAATGCCCGGAATCGATATGCATGGTAGATGTATGTTGCCGGTTGTCGCTGTCGTTTGCTGCTTCGATTCGAACTGCGTCCTCCCATCAGCCAGAAGATTTCCACCGTCATTCCTGTAGCGGCCAAAAGTGGCTTTCTCTGCGAGGGTCGGCTGGTCGTGGACAGACACAAAGGTTACCAGGTTTCGGAACCAATTGATCGGAAGAATGCTCAACAGAATGAAGTGCCCGTGCTATCTGTATGCAGTAAAGACAAAAGTAAGTGATGCCGGTACAATATTGAATCGTCCAGCAAGCTTGACTATATATATCTGTTTGGTTAATGCAACAAAGACGCCTGTAAGCAAGTAATTATGTTGTGTGTATATGCAGCTGGTAGTTGGTCAGGCCCAATGGGCGTAGGGTGTCTGCCGTAGATGAAACATTTAGCGTGGTACCTCTGCTAGCTGAGGGTCTTGAACGTACATCATACAGGGTAGTCATTCCACGATACGTCGGTACGATGTTTATCTAGATCGAAACGGGCGGGGGTGGGGTAGTGAACCCGGGGTCCCAGGGTTCTGCAGCGCGAGCTTTCGCTCCAGGTGCTCCGCCAAACTGCCCACATATCCCCTCCTGTCCGTAAGAGAAAACAATGCTTCTGCGTACACAGCTACCAAATAAGGTATACGCTGCGGATCGGAGTAACGGCTCTTCTGCCATCTTGGTACTTAAAAATAGTTGCTTATGCGAAGCTTTCTTATCTGAAATCACAGTAAACGCGCGCTTTTCCATCGTTCTCCAGAAATGTTAAAAACAGCCCGCGCCAGAGCAAAACGATATCGCCCGAACTTCCCGAGACCATCTCCATAAAGCTCAGGAACTCGCATTCTCGCATCGTTAACCATCGCCTATTACGCCCGTTCTGCATTGTAGACCTTTCCAGCACTTATAACCCAGGCGAAAAATGCTGAGTCACTGGACGGTGGACGCATGCACGGCGTCTGGATGAAAGAGAGCTACTGCGCAAGCTCAAAACGCGTTCAACTACCCCCCAAAAAAATAGCAGCGCGCAGGAGGCGATTAAAAATGTCTGAGCACCAAACTGGCGATAACTGCAAGAAAATCGTGGCACGAGGCACCGAGATATACGTTTACTTTAAGCCACAGTCCCAGTGCTCATACATCCTACACAAGACACGGTGTTCGCTAGAAATATGATGACAGATTCATCTGCTGACACAAGTCACGCATATGTTCAAGGCACGTCTGTTTCCTACATGTCTGCAGACAGTTTTTGTACGGCCAATGTGACCTCCATACAAGGGAGAAACGCGCCTTGGACAGTGTCTGCAGCAGACTGTCTTTTGTGTGATGGCTTAGCAGAGGGACCGCGGGCGCCCACCAGAAAATTGGGGGAATTCTGTGCCGATACCTGTTTATAGCTCGTCTGGTGACCTTACTTCGGCAGGATCCTCGTCCCCGAAACGCTGCAGCAAGCCGCAACAGTCCCAGCACCAGCAACCGGTGATCATGGTCAAGAACGGGCTGAGCTTCTTGCAGAACAACCTGAGCCTCGTCAAGATCTCGCCGCCAGGGTCACCGGGCGAGACCAGGGGTCCGCAGGGTCTCGTCGTGGCCCTGGAGTCCAGCGGCCCCGAGTCGGCAAACTATCGCTCGCCGACGGCGCAGTCCCAGCTGAGGCCCCAGCTCTACGTTCGCAGCCAGAGCAGCCAGCAGTTCCCGAGGAGCCTTCACGAACCCACGGTTCGCGTCCAGCAGTTGCCGCCAAATTTCTCGAGGACAGCGTCGTGTTCGACCATCAGCCCTGAAGCCGTGTCCTCGCCAGTCCACCAGAGGATCCGACCAAAGAATCCAAAGTAAGTGTTTTAGTAAGGCGTGCCGATAACTCCAATAACGATAATGATGCAATGGAGAGTTTTAGTAGATCGCTCTGATAACTCCGATGATACCCAATAACGATAAAATAAGGAGCTTTAGTAGGTCGTTTCAATGGCTTCGATAATACCCATAACCGATAACAACACCATGCAACGCAAAGGCATCACCGGACTATCGGGTATCGTTACAGGAGTTATTGTAAAGAGCTAATAGGAAGTTTTAGCAGATTGTCGCGATAACTCCGATAACAATACTCGATACCCCGCCGACGTTTTCGCGCTTCCATCGCATCATTATCGGGTATCGTTATTGCAGGTATCGGAACGATCTACTAAAACTGCCTAATAGCGATATTCAGTAGACCGTTGATGCCGAAAATGATGCCGAAATCGCCGCGGTCGCTACGCTGATTCTGGATGAAATGCGTTATCATTTAGCGCAGGGGTTCCAACTCAGCGAAGGGTGGAAATTCTCCTAGGAAATTCCAACCTCGCAACGGTCCGCACATTGTTGCCTTGCGGAGTGCCAGTTTTTTCTCCCGGGCGTCGGCGGTTTCGGATGCAGGCAAGACAGCTTCCTTCCTCTCCCACTCCCGCGGCGCATCATTCGAAGCGTGACAGAATACTCTTTTCCTCTTGTAAGAGATAAAGTGAACGCAACGAGTGAACGAACGGCGAGCGGGACACGCGCACCGCTCGCGGCCTCAGGAAATCGTCCATTCCAGTCCGGTCCAAACTACACTATCAGAAAAAAAAAAGAAAAAAAAAGTTATATTTTAACATTTTTTGTCCCATATGAGACACCTCAAAACTTCAGCCCGATGAGCAGCACACCGATGTCCAACCTACGGTACCAACTTTCACGAGCTGCTTGATAGCCGTGTGGTACAACTTATTAAAAAAGCTGACGTACGTGCTACTGACTACAAAAGAAATCGGGGTTTTCTTAACCCTACTGAAAAACCATAGCGTTTTCTTTCCGTGGTCTTTGATACGTACTTTAGCTGGTTAATAAGTTATATCGCACCGTTATGAACCCCCCGTAAATGTTGGGGGCCGTCTGTTCGACCTCAGTGTGCTGTAATTCGAACTGAAGTTTTGGGGTGCATTATATGGGACAAAAGAGTGTAAGACGACACCCTTTTTCTTTCCTTTTTTTTTTTTTTTTTTAGAGCGCGACAAAATTAATTTACGACCCTCCAAACGAAAGACGGCTACATGCACCCAAACAATAAATGCTAACGCATAAAAAAAGAACAAAAAAAAACCTTGCCGATATTTATTTAACCAATTTACCGTACAAGGGCGTAAACCGTACCACTGCATTTCTTTGATCTCAATAAGTCCTTGCTGCAAGGACAGCGCTCACAGCGCTCACTTATAAGAAAAAGCAACTATACTGAACGATATCCTCGTATTTAAAGTATGCTCACGTAACACGGCGGAAAACAAAAAAAGGGGGAAAAAAAGACTGCTTTGATACGTTCGTTATTTTCATTTCGATGTTTGTTCCAGACTCAAGTCTGTGACATCGTATCTTTCCGTTTACCATAATAATATTGTAAAAGAAAAACGAAAAAAAAAAAACATTTTTTAATGATGAGGCTAAACTCCAGCCACTGGCGTATACTAAGCTTTTGTTGGGCAATGGCGGAGAGTGCATATTACTTAAAAGGTCGTATATGCCTATATACGACAATCTTCACCGAAATCAGCCGTCTTACAGGTTTGTAACAAAAGAAGGCGACATTGTCAGTCGCTACGCGCTCTTCGCTGCGTGCGTCTGTCGCACGAGGATTTTAATTCTTTTTCGCCTAGCAGTGTATAGACGCTTTGCAGCAGCTGTGCATGGGCGCCGCCGTAACTGACCTTCAGTTTTTGTTTCGTCTTACTGAATTTCATTCACTTCATCATTATTATAGCAGGCCAGGTTATTACCATGTTAAATTCTATTGCATCCTTCTACCGAGCATTGGCCTTTCTGGAGGCTCGTCAACAGCCGTTTCAGTGGCTCGGTATCTCCATAAGACAAAAGAAGGTCAGCAATGGCGGCTGTAATCTGGCGCGTGTGTAAAGCGTCTATACCGTGTGACCCGATGTATGACGCCGATTTATGACGCTGGCTCACTTTATTGTCCAAAAACCATGCAGTTGAGGTAACTGTGTTGCGTGCATGTTCAGACAGCATGAAGTTAGTCAGCCCCGATGGTCGTCTGTAGAGTTTCAGCCGCAGATGAGCAATTTAGCCAGTGCGGTACCATGTACATATCCGGAGCGCAAGTTCGTCTGCTTCTTTTTGCAGGGGTTGTGATGACGTCAGAATGCCGAGCTCCGATTGGCTCTGATTGAAGGATAGTGGGTAAACCTCAAAGCAAGCTGGCTTAAGGTCTACCCACTATCCTTCAATCGGAGCCAATTAGAACTCGGCGTTCTGACGTCACCACAACCCCTGCAAAAAGAAGCAGACGAACTTGCGTTCCGCATATATCCTGAGATCTTCAGCGTGGACCACGCAGTGGTGGCACGCGATCGTACTCCGGTACAACACTCATCCAGATCGAAAGAGGCAGGGGTGGGGTTCGAACTTAGGATCCCCGAAACCATGCAAAGATTAAATAGTTCCTAGCAGACTTTTTGCTTTGCACGGCGCCACGAAGACGACAGGACTTTCACGTGATATAGAGAGTAAAAACCGGGCTTTCACGTCCACTGCTCCCGATATATAGGATCAATCAGGCGGCGTGTCTGCGAGTCTAGAAGACTGAAGACGGCCTGACCTAGTTTACTAGATCAGATCAGACAGCCTTCAGCCGGTTACGTCCACAAAACTGACTAATCAGCAAGCACCCGGGGACATCTTACGAAGCCAGCAGCACACGGCATGGACAGCAAAAGACGGGTAAAGAGAAGAGGACATATTGGGCCACGAAAGGGCGCGGTTCGGTCGGACAAGATGGCTGCCACTTCCGCTACGCCTTATGTCACGTGATGCACGTGGGCACCTTCCCTCAGTGTGAAACCCTCGCTGCTGTAAAGCCTTTCAATGAACTTTGCACTGCCACCGGGGACAAATAGAGCGAGACCGGGGCGTGCAGCTTGTTATAGCCGTGGCTCCTTCGACAAAGGGAGTCTTCGATTGGCCCCATTCATCGGTCGTCCATCGGGGGTGGCTGACGTCTCGTGACAAGTCGGCCCTCGTCTGCTCTGTTTGCGAGACCGGTCCCACGAGACCTCCGTCGCGCCCGCGTCGCCTTTTCCAGCAGCCTAATGGATGGACGTTGTTTATGAGACGCCGAAAGGAGCCGACAACGGCTAAATAAAGCAACTGCCACCAGTGAACGCATCGCGGTGAATGGCCTGCCGTGGGTCCTTCTGCTGATCTTTCGTAGACTCGGGAGTACGTGGCTGAAGTGGATTCCGACGGATGTCAGTGGGCTCGCAGAGCTTACTGATTCATTTACCCTAAGGGCACTTTCGGGCATTAAGTAAGGGGGGGGGGGGGGGGGGGTGGAGGATTTATTCACATCAACACAACACGTACAAAAAAAGACAGACGGTCACAGCACACCAACGAAAAATAAAAAGACGATACAAGAAGACATTTGCTGGATCCAACGTTGTAACAAATATACATCGACACGATGACTTAGGCTTTCTGTGGGATTAAAAAAAGATTGATGATCCTGCATGACTGCTATGTTGCTTGGCAAGGCGTTCAATTAATTAATTGCAAGGTTGAGCGGGGAGGTTTTGTATAAGCTAGTACGTACGGGCGAATACATAATTTACACATATTTAAAGGAAAAAAAAAGAAAAAAAAAACGGACGACGGACGAGGAGGGGACAAACACAAAACGCTTGAGATGTTTTGTGTTTGTCGCCTTCTTCGCCCGTCGTCTCCAGGTTTTTTCAAACATGTGTAACATCAACCAGATCGCCTGTTTATTTACTCTTTCTTTCTACAGAATTTACTTTGTTCGAATGGTCAGCACGCGGAAATATGCGAGTCCCTGGCACAACGTGAAATTGACGAGAGGGAGATGAATTGTGATATATTTAATGAAATGAGAAACCTGCTACTCGCCTTCTAGTTTTGAAAGACGCTACATCTAATGAGTCTTTAGTAAGGATGACACTGCTGGTAGGTGAGTGTTCGCGTGTTATGAACCGGGCGGATTTCTTTGGTAACGACTCTAAATCCTTGATCAGGTAATCTTGGTGGGGATTCCATATGACTGAGGCGTATTCTAATTGACTTCTAGCGAGGGATGTATACGCTCGGATTTTTGTTAGCATCGGCTACAAACATTGGTCTTCTCAGGAATTCCATTGAATTCCGAAGTATCCCTCAAAGTTAGTTCAATATGAAGATTACATGGCAAACTTGGTGTTAGATGAACTTCTAAATATTTATGATTGTACCTTTTCGATTTATTTGTTGCTAATATTGTATGTTCAGAAATATTCTTCTTCTTTTTTTTTGTAGTTAACGTTATGACTTTGGTTTTATTTATATTGAACCACATTTGCCAGTCAGCACACCACATTGAACTTTTATTAAGAAAATAGTATTGGCTTTATAAGAGAGAGAAGTTATGGTACGATATATGACGCAGTCGTCTGCGAAAAGACGTATGATTAAGTGAAGTTTGAACCTTAGTATGAATATCGTTAATGTATAATAGAAAAAGTAAGGGCCCAAGAACAGAACCCTGGGGAACTTTAGATTTCACGGGTTAAAGGGGGAAGCAATGCTATCCATAACAACACACTGCATGATATCTATTTGAAATAAAATAAAACAACTAACAAAAGTAAAAGATAGAGACGGGTGTTATTAATTAGATTTTAGATTTTCTTTCAGAGAGAGAGAGAGAGAAGTGTCTCTCTTTCAACACCTCTCTCTCTCTCTCTCTCTCTCTCTGTGGGCACTGCGCACGCGCAAAAACCAGATTCGCGTGCGCGTGAGATGAATCGTCTGCG